ATAAAACCCATATTACGACAATTTAACAAGCGTTGCGAGAATTTCCTGAATAGGGGTTTATTTTGGGTTCAGCAGCTGTAGACACACATGCACGAAAGAGCTGAATTGCGATGGAGGTTTGCAAAAAAACGAGCGTCTCGACGGCGCCGAGATCAATTTCCACGATTTAGCGTAGGATGCAGGCGGGTGGCTGGTGGACCTTGAGCAGAGTCTCGTGTTGTGGCTCCAAGTTTTTATTAAATGGTCCAGAATAAATAAACTTCCACAAGGGATATATTGTTTTTCACTCGCCCCGGCATTTTTGCTACACATCACAACATTATTTTTTTTGACAATTATTTTTGCAATATATGTATAGTTGAAAAATCTGGGTGAAACCCAGGCTAGCATCATAAAAATAGTGAATAAACTTAGCGCCGCTCGCACACAAGGTGTACTTAGGTATGTTGTTTTGATGAAAAATTCTTGGCATACGATATTTTCGGTACAACGCACAAAATGATTACGGCGACATGTCGTTAGCACCTGTTTAATGCGTTTAACACCCCCTCTCCCCCTCAACGACGAATATAAACGGCCTTGGCAGTAAAATTAAGTTTCTTGAAGGCACGTAATGTCACCCCGCTCTACGCAGTTCCCACAAATGCCGCAACTAATTTTTTTGCAACTCTATACGGTGTACTGAAGATGGTGTAACTCGACACCGAAACGTTCGTGATAGTTTGTTGACTGCGCTCGCTTGTCGTGGGTTTTCTTATTTTGATGAAAATTCGTGGGCGATTGCAGTTTTTCGTGCGGCTATTTTGGGGGTCCATTAATGTTGAGTTATTTGGGAATCGATGTCATTAGATGAGGGGGAATGCTGGACTTTGATTGTCGTGTTTACTTGGGAGAAGATTAATTGGAGGCGACATTGGGAGGTGTTCGTGAGTCATTGGCGATTTGTAAGGGGCGGGTGCGCGACTTGAGGATAAGCCAAAAAATTTGCAAACAAATACTACGTGAGGGAATAGTAGAGGTCCGGTGGAAGGTACGCGTGGGACTCCAGAGCGGATGCGGGAGCGGAGCTTGCGTCCACCATTGATAAAAATATCTTTTATAGACGGAATATTTAGAATATTAAAACATACAAAAAAATTGAAAATTGTATTTGTAAATTTAGAATTCCAATAGTCGAGTATTGTAGAGTTTGTAAAAGTAGCTTATTTTAATTGTAGTCGTTTCTTCATGTTTAAACTTAACATAGTTATCTATTACTATTTTGCATTTTTGAAAAAATCCATACGTTACTTTTGACATTGCTTCACTTCGTGCTTTTTGGCTTCAGACAGGAGAAAAAGGGGAAAAATGTAAGTGTTGTGGCAGAGCTTCAAACAGAAGAAAAAATAAAATTGCTATGGCAGAATGCCCTGACTCGTGCCCGAAAATACGCTTTTCAAGTACACACAAAAAGTCATTGTTAAAAAAATTCTGCTACTTTTAGACGAGCATTAGCACGTTCAAATCACAAGCATGAGCGCTTAAAAGAAAGTGAAATTTGATTAATTTTGTCTCCTCAACGCAGAGGAGAGGACTGAGTAATTTTTTTTTTTTCTCCAAAAGCACTCATAAATTTGAAGAACACATATTTGGCAAAAATAGACAAATTTTGGTTAACGATTTGCCATGCTTCCAATAACCTTAAAATATTTTCCAAGATGTCACAGCATTCGATTTTTGCAATTTAGAATTTAAATTATTCTAAAACGTACGTATATAATTTTGATTCTTTATCCAAAGACGTTATTTAGAAACGTAGAGATTAAATGTAATGTAACATTAATGAAAATTAAGAAAATCTTACAGAAATTGTATCTAAATGAATACTCAAAATTAAAAAATTTTAATTTTGAAAACATGTCAGTTTTTAAAACTTCTTAATGATGGCACAAACTAAATGTTCTCTTTTAATGTATGTTTGCTTTTTCTTTACTGCACCTTGCGTTTGAACTGGTTGATGGTTTTATTTTATCATTAACCAAAAAATACCACCTGGTCGTAAAACTCGAGCTCGTAAAGCATATATTAACCCATAATCTGTTTCCTGAGATTGATATAAATCTGACGTTTTACGACAATTAATTGCCAGTTTGAGGAGAGTATTTTTAGCGGAGGTGTCGAAAGCGTCACATTTAGTGCAGAAAATTGGTTTGCAGTGAGTGCCAACCGTTTTAAAATTAAGTTTGTTTTGCAAATTTGTAGAGTTTAAATAATATCATAAGCTAATTTCATGGTTAAGTTGATTTTGTGCCTGTTTGACATAAAAGTTTAGTTAAAAAATACATTGATTTCCAATACTCCTGTTTTATTACTGAAAACCCTTGAAAAATGTTGGGAAAAAACAAAATTTTGCATGACGACGGTAAAAACTTTGAAAGATCAAATACACTAATTTTATAACCCTTTTGTCACTCTAAGCTCTTGAAAACTGTTGGGAAAACAAAATTTTTTCACGGTGATCATTATTCCTCATTAAAACGTAAAAATAGCGTCTGCGAAGGTTTGTTTTTGTGTTTAGTACGAGTCGTACCTCTCGAAGCCCAGAAATTTTCGTTCGGACGTTGGCGTTTCGCCTCATGGACGTTCTATTCAAATCAATTGCGGAAGTTGGCTCTCCGTCCCAACAGCACATCCCACTTGAGCCGCCGTATCCCGTGCATATGCCTTGCAGACGACTGGCTATTGCTAAGTAACTCCTGCGTAAGTCGGCTATAGAGAGGCGTGTGGGCATATGGGGTGTACAGAGACGCGACCAAGCCTAAGAACACGCTATAAATACCGCCTCGCGAGCAACTCTCATTCAGTGTATTTACATTAGTCATTTTCGAACGTCCTCCACCGAGACTCGTTCCACGACTTCGTCAATTTTTGACTTTTTTTCTTAAAAGTGCCTTCAGTGCTCATCGGCGGTTTTCGTAACTCTAGCTAAGCCATGGACGCCCCCCAGGTAACACTAGCTAGGGAATGGTTCGGTGATTCGGAAAATGTGATTTTTTACGTAGTCCTTACGCTGACGCTGGCCGTTTTGGTTAAAGTTGTCGTGAGCAAAATGCGACGATTGGAAACTGGCAGGGTACTCATTATTTCTCAGTGTTGTTAATTTTGTTCCAATTGTACACTAACTTACGCGAAAATTCAAAACGAAACTTGTTTTATACTGTATCGAAAGCTTCGGCCACCGGAAACTCCAATAAACCGACCCTCTGGATTCCTGACTCGTTGCTACGGGAAAAACTCGTCTTGATTTCGGTGGTGTAAGTCGAAAGGAGGACTTTGGTGATCGGAATTTGCAATGGCCGAAGCTTTCGCGAATACGCTACAGTTCGTTTCGCGTTGGGTCTTTTGTGCTGCGTGGAACCGGCTTCTGATAATCGCGAAACGAGCTGTACTGCATGTACTAATAAATCGATATCCGGTGATCTAATAATATTGCACACCTTGAATTGTTTTTCAAGCTTCATTTGTTGATCGGGGTGGAGTACCCTTAAACAATCGACGGTCGACTTTTGCATGTCGCTTCAAGTGCATCTAAAAACGCTACGATCCAGACGTCGTCGTAATTGAATTTATTGTTGATTAAATTAATCAAATGTGTGGGTTCGTAATGGATGTTGCGCCTTTTAATATTTGGATGACGTCCAATACGATTTTATGGACGTAATTATGGCGACCCCACCCTTATCTTATTTACACTAGCGAAACAGTTCTTGAAATAGACGAGTGGCTGGTTTTTTGTTTTTTTTTTTTTTGCGATTAATAGCTGCAGGAATGCAACATTTCGATTTGGATGATTCATGGTGCTATTGTGGCGGTTGGATACAAAGGATGAGACGGTTGTTCTTGTCGCGTACTCACTCTACCACCCTTGATTTCCAATGGATTTATTGTGCGATTGTTAAGAGACGGGCGGATATTTTATTGGCACTGCGTTTCTAATCTAAATTCATTAAATTGTTACAAGTACGATTTATTTTTAGGCGGATTTTTTGAATCGTGGGTCGTTCAACTGAGAGTGACGCGTCTGGAGCATTTGATAGGGGATTTTTTTAGGAACGTTGCACAATGCAATTGTAGATAGTCTGACGGTGATATGTATATGGTCGTTACATAAGACGGAGAGCGGGTTTTAAATTGCATAAATAAAATTGCACCGGTAATGTAATACAGCTCGTATAAGATTTATGTTTTTGTTAACACGCAATATATCGTGGAACTCTTCTGAAAGCTCTGAAACATTGTGGTTAAACATTTATTATTTTATTATATCCGCTCGTGTTTTCCACAAAAAAGTTTAAAGTTCTCGACTTAAATGTCCTGTGTTGATTTAATGTTGGTCTCTTTTTAAGTGATGTTAATATGTGTATTAACTAAAAACTAAAATTCTGTCTTAAGTAATGTCAATGATTTTTAGAAAAAAAAAAAATAAATAAAGAAGTAAATATGCCAAAATTAAAATAAAATTGGACCAAAGAAGTAAAATAAAATTTTATTGTGATAATTTGCCATTATAATTAATATTCAATAAGTTTTGATAAATTTTAATCAAGATTCATGTCAGATGGTTCTTAAAAATAACAATTTATTTAATATTCCAATTTATATTTTACTGATTTTAAAAAGTTGAAACAAACTATATAAACACCTGTGCTTTTTCTATGACTTCAAATTAAAGCCGTAATTGAAATAATTTTTAGGGAGCAATTACTAAAAGTTTTCATGTTCGATTTTTTTTATATTATTTTTGAAATTCTAACAATGGCGAAATTCTTAAACATTTTATTGGAATTTTGAAAAAATTTCCAAGGTTTGGGTTTGGGTTGTTTTTAAAAACATTGACATAATACGGAAAACACATTTTTGCTAAATTCGTAAATCGTTATGAAGTTGTATAAAAATTTAATAAATTTCATGTATCCCTTTGTAAACTTATAATCTACAATGTCCGCCTGTCATTGTTTCAGAACGCCGAAGAAGCCGCAGCTTCTCCTTCTGCTGAGGCTCCAAAATCCGAAGAAGTGAAAACTCCCGAAGCCGCCGCCGAGGTGCCGGCGACCGCCACTCCCAGCACCGAATCCGTCGAAACCGCTCCGGCCCCTGCCGAATCTCCAAAAGAAGAAGTAAAGCCCGCGGAAGAACCGGCGAAACCGGCCGAACCGGCCGCCACCGCAACGACACCCCCAACTGAAGAACCGGCAGCCCCGAAGCCGGTCGAAGAAGTGCCCGTCGAACCAACCAAAGCTCCCGAACCCGTGAAAGAATCACCGCCGCCAGCACAACCCGCAGAAACCGCCCCTTCTCCCGTCAAAGAAGAAGCCAAACCGGTCGAGGAGCCCAAACCTAAAACCGAAGAACCCGTTGTAGTCGAGGAAACCAAAGAGGTGCGTAATACCGAAGAGATCCCTCCACCTTTACCCTCCTCTAACCCACCCAACCCGGTGACGGTGTTTGCCGAATCGACTAAAGCCGATCCGTTGACTGAAACTCCCGTTGCCGCCGAGGCCGCTCCTATCGTCGCGGAAACTCCTCCCACTGTCGAGAAAGCCGCTCCCGCAGTCGCTCCTCCTCCTCCGCCCGTCGAGGAGAAAGTCCCAGAGCCGGCGAGCGCGCCGGTCGTCGAGAGCGCGCCACGGGAAGAAGACAAAGTTGTCCCTCCCGCGGAGCCGGACCTAGTGGCCGCGCCTCCGGTGGAACAGCCCCCACAGATCCCGGAAGCGTGTTCCCTACCCCAGAAACCTGTCCAGGAGCCTCCGAAGAGCCCGGAGGCGCCGCCCGCTAACGTGGTGGTTTGCCCGATACCTCCTAAGACCGAAGAGGCGTGTCCGCTGCCCCCCAAACCCGAACAGTCCCCCGATAAGAGCGCAGAAGCGACTCCCGTGGCTCCGCCTCCGGCCGCACCCAGCCCGGAGGCGAAGCAAGAGGTGGCTCCTCCTGCGGAGGAGCAAGTTCCGCCCCCCGCGACCGTCGAATCCGCCGATTCCCTTCCCGATATTTCGACGGAATCTCTTCCTTCTCTTCCCGAGCCGGTTTCGGATAGTCTTCCCGAACCCATGTCTTTGCCACCTGTCGAATCGTTGCCCGAACCGATCGCGACCACGGAGGAAAGCCTGCCCCCAGCGCCTCCCTCGCCCGTTTCAGACCTTCCCCCACCACAAACTGAAATTATACTGACCAACGGGAACACGAATGGGCTGCCGTCACCAGTCAGCAACGATGACGCTCTACCGCCCCCCGTTGAAGGACCACTGAAACAGGTGAATAGAAAATAAGAAAAGACAGATAGAGAGATTTTTATGATGATGGACTTTTTGCATTCATTAACAATGTCTTGTTTCTCTTCGTTGTGTTTTTATTAGATTTTCCCGGCTATCTTTTGTTTGATTGTGCTAACCAGAAGTTGTGTATTGTCCCAGTCTCTATACTAACATGTCTTACCATGCTAATAGTTTTACCATGTTGTTTTAGCAGTTTGGAGCCAGTTTAGGTGGTGATTGACATTTACAATTGGTTTGAATTGTGAAGCGTTGAAGTTTACTTCCAAATCTGTGTTTTTAGTTCGAACAATGCTGAAAAATTATTAGCCGTCGCGAGCTTCATTCGCTTTGGTCTATTGATCGAATTAAACTTTTGAAGATGAATTTAACTATTTTTACAAAAAACTCAAATTTAAGTTCCGCCCAATCGCAGCATGTCTATTTCTTACTCAGAATCCCGTTATATAAAAGTTGGCTTAATTGTGAATTAAAGTATAAATATTATCTCGCAAAACAAACGCTGGCAGCGAAGTTACTGTTACCACAGCCTTTGAAAACTGATCTTTTATTCGAAAAACCGGACGCAACAGCGGTTCGTGACTTGTTAAAAATAGCAGAATTTATGTTCGTTCTGTTAATCTCGCTTTCTTTAAAAGTTTCTCGTTTCTCGATAGTCGCCTCGCCTCTTCCGCTTGTTCTTGAGTCTGAAATGAATTTTAATCGCCTCGAAATAAACATAAAGTAGAAAACCAGATGTAGACGACGTTCGTTCCTAATTAATTAAGCAGTCTGGAAAACAGCTTCACCAGAAATCTAGGTCAAAGTAAGCTCCAAGGAGTTGATAAAATCGAATTGAAAATGTCAAAACGCCAGTCTTCTCCAAGCTTTTTAATGTCGAGTTGACGTTTCAATTAATTTTTCAGGTTCCCGCAGAATCCACAGAAAGCACAGGTGCTGATAAGCCAGCCGTAAGTAGTTTTTTTCTGAGTTGATTTGTTCGTGCTGACGTTTGTAATTGTTTGGCAGGAGTCCGCCCCCGGGGCAGTCGAAGAATAAGTTTTTCTCTGAGTAAATGTTTTTATACATGTATATGAACTCTTATTACAAGTTAAAATTTAAAAAAGTTAACGGATCATTCCTGGCAGTGACCGTGGTTCGACCAAAAGAAGAAAAACAAAACTGCCATTTAAATTAGACTTCTTTAGAAATATGGATGTCCACAGCGCAAAAATGGGAATAGTTGGAAAAAAAAATTAATACTCGTATATTAACTATTTTATATTAATGTTTAGTGGAAGTTTTTGGACAGTTTTTATATGTCGTTAACTCGACCTTTTTATCGTATACAATTGTAAAATACAGAATAGCGTAGTTTAGTGTTTAGATGGCCTGCATTGTTTCATTATTAAATTTCCTGTAAACCTTCACGATTGTTTGAATATAGTTTTTATATATTTCCAATTATTCGTCGTATTTATATATTTCTTATAATTGCTTTCCTAGCTTTAGTACATATCTACCAAAAACCTGCTGCGAAAAGTGGCGCAGGCGCTGTAGAAGTCCTATTCCACTTTTCGTTGCAGATTTTGTTCGACAGCTGAGATCTGTTTGTATAAAAAGATGGTTATGTGAAGATTTTAAAATTATAAATGTGTAGAGATAGGAATCGGCTGTCTATCTATATAGTTACATAGTATACGGTGTGCTTCATGTATTTTCTGCGTCAGGCAGCTTAACGCATTCTTGTTTGTTTCTTCGCTGTTTCAAGGGACAAACGATTACAGCGTTTTTATTGTATAGATGGTTTCGAATTTCAAAAATTGTACATTGTTCACAACGAAATTCATTTGAAAACAAAAAAAAATTGTTCGGTGTTTCCAAATTTTAATGATTAGAATATAGTTAACGAACGGAATTTAGTTTTGATTTTTTACCAGCTCGAAACTATATTCTTCACAGCGATTTGATATTTCGTCATTATTACTCATCGACTTATCAAAATGGCTGTGTGTGTGTAGGTAAATCAGACTCCATGTAAGTGTGAATGTGTTTATAATATAAATATATAAATAGGATGTTTCCTATACGTTTTTTTCTTACTTCCCCTCATATAATATGGTTTTTGAATTAAAACACAAAAATGCAATGACATCACGTCTTTATTTCTATCTTATCTTTATAAAATCTATATTTTCGTTTCTGGCACAGACCATCACAAATCCAACGTTCTTTGGTAGATTACGAGTTCCTGGTGTATATGGTGCTAAGCATGCAACAGTAAGATCCAGTATCGATAACTATTATAAAAACTATATATATAATATAAAAAACATAGTATAACTATATCATGGACGTATAACGTAGTGCTAACAGACAAACAACACAGTGCAATAAATTTTACTTAAAGAAATTGAATTTTTATAGCGCTCAGTTATACTTATTGCACTCTTTAATACTTAACCTAAATAACGAATTATTGATGAAGATAATTATCGATGTAGAAATAAGAGATAACATCCACTCAAACGCGAATAGAAGCCATTAAACACATGTATTTAGTCTTCAAGGAAATGAAGCTTATTACAAGTTGGGAATAGAATGGTCCATCAAATTCTTAACCAGCGATCCTGCCATCCTAGAAAAAAAACGAAGTTTTATGATTTAACGTCAGCTTTGAAGTAATCAAATTTATATTGACGTATAATATACGAAAGTTCAGTGCTAAATTTAATAAATACAATGACCAATTTCACGCTATGTTAAATCCACTTGTCTGTAATGTATAAATCTATAAATGATTTACGGACGTTTTAGGCGAGTAAATGGAAATTTTCTTTAAACAGATTCATTGGGTTTCGGTTCGTACATTACTTTGTTTTAACTTTTTCCAAAATTTTTGTGTGAATCAAGAAAAAAGAATAACTAAAATACTACTACTACAAACCCTAATTATTACATGTTTGTTTACCGATCTCTCATCAAAATACCGTTATTTGTTTAAATTGTTCGCTGTAAGACAATTAGATTAACACAAGCAACATTTCCTGTAACAGTACATAGAACCGTAAATCCCCTTAAGTCACGTGATAAATGAATCATGTGATTCATATCAACAAAGACAAATGACATTTTATGCACAGAGCTAACAATTTCATGTCTACGTTTACTTCCTTGTTAGAAGGTTGCGGCGATATTTAGCACACACGGGTGCAAACATGGTTTTTTAACACGTGTTGCAAACGTTATTTTTTCACGTTAGGGTTGCTACTTTGCGATACATGGCTTGATTTTTGACGTTGTGTCATATTTAATCTTGATGCACAAATATTAAATCACTGCCATTGCTTAGTTGAGATATTTTCGTGAAATTTTTCATTAGATAAAACACCTGACAAAAACCGTACGAGGACAAAATTTGCCGATATCTATTACAAATACAGATATACACAAAATTGAGAATCATAATTATATCAGTATAAATATTTTTTTCTAGTTCTCAAATAATAATCATAATAATAATAGGTACACTGATAAAACTAAAATAGGGAAATATGGACCCACAAAAAACTACCTCCTGATTGAAAAGAAAAGATAATAATGAAAATCAGTTCGCTCAGCCCCACTAGGAGATAAGTCAGGAAAAATACCATCCATATACTTACTTCTTCACCATATGCTCATAAATGAAGCTCGGAATCACCGTAATCGTGACAACATCCCCGGCCTCTTCAATGAACTTGGTGACCTGCTTGTCCTTCAAGCCCACCACGTTCTGTCCCTCCACCTCCAGGAGTTGATGCTCGGTCAGAACCCCGTTCCTCGCCGCCGACGAGTCCTTGACAATCGTCACGATCTTCCCGTTCTTGAACTGGAACCCTATGCACCCTACGCTGTCCTTGTGCAGCGTGATGGTCCTCTCAAAGGGCCTGTCTCTCACAGCCACCTGGATGCCGTTGACCGGGCTCTTGCGCAACAAATCGTGCACCTTGTCCATGGAAAAACCGGCCACGTTCGTACCGTTGATCTGCAGGATTTGGTCGCCGAATCTCAAACCGGCTAGAGCCGCAGGCGAGTTCTCCACCACCAGACACACGAAAACCCCGTTGTTGATGGGTTTGACGCGGAGTCCCACTTTGCCTTCCTTGTCCTTGCAAAGGGTGAGCTGGCGTACGCCGTGGCTGACTTGAGCGCGCTGGAGCCCGAGGGACTGACCCGAGATGGGGGCCACCATGGTGGTGGTGCCCACAGGAATCGGGATGCTCTGAAATAATCATTTAATTTTAACTACTTCAAGTGGTGACCATTTCAAGATACAATTTTATTTATTGATACATATTGAATGTGATGCAAATTTGTGACGTCACCTCAACCGCAAACTACTGGTCATTTCACATCCTTCTGTAATTAAAAAAATCCCGTTACTCACCGCATGGGGCAGAGCAATCTGCGAATATTCGGGCATGTTTTGCTTGATGACATCTTCGGTCAATTCCAACCCCATGAATTCACCCAGTGATGGATAAGCCGAATTTCCGGTAGCAGTCTGGGGTACGGGCATTTCTGGAGAGTACGCTGGGGGGTAGGAGGGTGCACTTGCTGCAAGAGCTTGATTTTGAGCCCTCGACATGTGGTCAATTTTCATATCCTCGAGGCTTGGATACAGCGACATGTTTGTTATGGCTAATGGAAAAAACAGGGTTATTTGATACGAGACTTATCAAATGACTGAATGTTGATTAGAAAAACATAATCGTTCTCATATTTAGAGATTTCTATAAATAGATATCGATATTTGTAATGGTTAATACTGACCTTTTGGGCTTACAGAGAGGAATTGTTGGACGCTTTTAACCTTCTCTTTTACAATTGGAATGGTTTATCATTGATGATTCATCACAGTTTAAACGACTCGTGAATGCTCTATTGTTGCAAGACTTGTTTTTTTACTTCGACATGTACCGATACTGACGTCTGACGTTTGTTTATTTATTTATTTGATTAAAAGTGGCGCCCTCTAGTGCTCGGAGTGAATTGAGTTTTAAAGATTGTTGAGAGGTAAAATTGTACTTGATTTCAATTTTTAATTGCTAGTATGGCTTTTTCAAAAAATGTTTTATCAAATTTAAAAATAACAGCAATTGTTCATAGGCAACCAACATAACACCCTCTCGTGGCGCCATCTAGCCACGTGACACATAACCGACAAGTGACAGGTTGAACCAGAGATCTCTTAGTAAACTTGCCAAGGATCTAGGTAGTCCAGTCATTTTAGGATAAAAAAGGGATCAATCTCGGAATGAGAGATAATAAGCTGAATTTTTGTATATACCTTAATTTTGGCGTTTTAAAAGTTGTGTCAAAAGTCTCACAAAATCTCGTGTCTGCGTCGTAAGTTATTCAAGGTCAAAGATGAAGAAAAACAGTTTTTTGCGATTATCTCGGTTTCTATTGCTCCAGTGATGTTAACATTTATTATCATAATTGTAGAGCACAAAATTTGGGAGAAATTTTATTTGAAACATTTTTTCATGCGCTCAATCTTTTTTGAGATAGAGGGCAGTGAGCGCGCAGCGCTCATCCATACGTACTGTAATGCAATCAACCGTGAATATCTATGAATACTACCTTGAATTTTGAAAAATTTGTATTATTTATCAATTAATACATTGTATTTAAACATTTTACATATTTTCAACATATTCATTGAATAATACTTACCTACTTTATTGTGTAATTAAAAACGCATTTAATGAAATATTTATTGTATATCTCGAATTTATTTATATCTTTAAAATGTGTAAGGTTTTAAATACTTATTTTTCTATCATGATTATAACTGGAAGGTCTGGAAACAACGATTCAGGGCACCGAAGATGATGACGATGAAACAGAAATTCCCGAACGTCCAGAAGATGACGGTGAAGAAGAAGAAAATTAATACTTTTGTTCTTTAAATTATTAAAGATTTATAGATTTTCACTGCAATTCAATTTCAATCGTAAGAAATGTACAGGTACTGAACAAAGATAAAATTAAAATACATTAACTCGTTTTACTTCCTTAAATTTTTACTTTGAAAAAATTAATATAACTTTTAGTTATATAATAATATAACAAGTATAATATATTATCTAATATATAAAACTTACACATTTGAAAGATAAAGTAGGTACTTAATTATTTTTCTACTTAAAATCTACTTTCAATAAATTAAGGTATACATACAATAAGTATTTCATTTAAAGAGTTTTTAATTCCACAAAGTAGGTAAGTATCATTATCATTAAATGAATGTATTGAAAATATGTAAAATGTTATTAAATGCAATGTATTAACTGATAAATAATACAAATTATTCAAAATTAAAGGTAGTATTCACAGATATTCACGGTTGATTGCATTACAGTACGTTTGGATGAGCGCTGCGCGCTCACTGCCCTCTATCTCAAAAACGATTGAGCGCATGAAAAAATGTTTCAAATAAAATTTGTCCCAAATTTTGTGCTCTACAATTACGATAATAGATGTTAACATCATTGGAGCAATAGAAACCGAGATAATCGCAAAAAACTGTTTTTCTTCACCTTTGACCTTGAATAATTTACGACGCAGACACGAGATTTTATGAGACTTTTGAGACAACTTTTAGAACGCTAAAATGAAGGTATATACGAAAATTCAGCTTATTATCTCTCATTCCGAGGTTGATCGCTAATTTGACTGGACTAAGGTGCCTAATACGGTTCTTAAAGTGAAAAAAGACTTTGGAACAAAAATTTCGATGAAAAGAAAACGCTCAAGAAGAAACATTTTCATGATAGTAACTTAATCGGAAAGTAAAATCAATTGAAAATATATGCAGCAGAAAGACTGTCCTCAGTTTTCACGAGTTTAGTATAATTGGGTGCCTATACACATTTATTAGGCTATTTGTGTTGCTTGTAGCGAAGCGACAACAACAAAACAATAAAAAAAATCGGTCACACATTGTGATGTGCTGAACAGTAATTTGTAAAATCTGACATTTAATTGTCTTGCATTGTAACACTGTGTAACGTGATATTTATGTTTTTTCGTTTGGTTGCATTTATTTTTTGCATTTTTTCTTCCTTGCAAATTTTCTAAAAAAACTTTTTACCATATTTCCTCTAGAATTCAGCTTATTGTAACAAAATCATTTAGCAGAAGTTAATTTTTTATACTTATATTTGAATAACCTCATAAAAAGTTGTTTTATTTTGAAATTTGTTGAGTCCATTCAAAATTTCAGTTAAAACTTCAAGATAAAATAAATTAAACAAATGGTTCTTACCCTTTATGCGGAGACCATATGCCTTACCATCTGTACGGACGAAAGCGAGCCGCAATTCAGTGGTTGCTCTTCGATGGGGAAGGGCTATAAGAATTGACCAGTAAAGTAAGGTTAGAATTTAGAATGCGCGGCAGTTCATAATTCAAAAATTCTACTATGGGTTTCTTATGGGAGCTTGATTTTACAGACAAAATACGCCGCATAGGTAGAAATCTTAACTAGTTCATGCTACAAGCGATAAAGACTGTACAATTATCTTCCTGTTACTAAAGGTTTAACTATATAAAAAGCTTCTGTTAAAGATAGATTGCAAATTAAAAACAACGCTATCCATCGAAGTAACGTACATCGTTTCTAACGTCTTGCGCATGAGTGAAACGGAAAATCTAGAAACACTTGGGAAAGAAAAAGAACGCGAATATTTTGCGGTACTAGTGACGTTTAGATCGTGAAAATCCCCAAAATATGACAGTTGATTTCGTATTTTCATCACAACAAACAATCATAATCACAATTTTTGGATGATATATTAGTTCTGTGATATTGATTCACATTGGGTTGTATGTATCTGTGGACTGGTTTTTTTGTATTTGTTATTAATAATGACAGAAAGACATGTGTTAACAATAGGGGCAATTGCCATTTTTTTTTGTTGGAGAAAATTCTTTACAGTCAAATAATGTAGCGAAAGTCAATTGGTATACTGAATTAAATGTGCTTGAAGAGTTTATTCGAGCTAGAATGCGAGAAGATTATGGTAAGTTAATGTATATTGATAAATTCTGTGTCAAGTAAAATTATGACGTATTTTGTTTTATTATGCATTGATATTCCTTAAGAGAGGCAACATGTGAAACCCCAAGAGGTGCATTTGTTTATCATCATATGGCTACACCTGCCCTACACGGACGTTATAATGTATTGTGGACCAATAATTTGCGTGCTTGAGACGTACATCTGAAGAAAAGTGAATCAGCTGAGGTCCGAGCTGTTGTCTCTGAAAATTCTTTTAATCCCCAAGTCAGCCTAAAAACAGCTAATGTTGAGGTACAACTTCATGAAAGCTTAGGACAAACTGATAGGAACGAAGCACTGCTTTTGCTATTGGGCCCTGAACTAGAAAGATCTGAAGAAAATCTACTTCACAGTGTCGAAGAACTATTAGTGTCCGAGGACTATTTTAATGGCCCATCAAGAAAACAGTTTGTGGGTCAGTTTTTCACCAAAAGTGAATCAGATTTTGCATTAGGAAGTGCAATTTTTTATTGTAAAATACTTTTTTTTTGTTTTGAAATAAATTGTTCTTTAAATTGTGATTTTTTTTTTAATGGGTGTTTCAGACCCAATTCGTACTAAAATGAGAGTGATTTTTACTTGTACATGAAAGGTTTAATCAGGAATGCTAAGTTTTTCCTTTTCTAGCAAAAATGTGTGAAAAGAAAAAAGCTTGGGATTGATGATGATTCTTAAATCAAAATTTGGCAATTGATTGAAAACATTTGCAAATATGAGATCTCCTTTATGTATTATTTTAAATTCACAGCCGTATCTGTAGCATCTGAAAATCAAAGCCGTTTATGTGGAGGGGGAAGTCAATGGCAGTATGAACCACTGTACGACATACGTTCGAGGCAAATGTAGTGGTAAAAGTTGAATTTAAATATTTATTAAATACTACCGGTTCCGTTCATGTTTGGTATCAAGATCAACAGTAAAAATATCAGTCTTAATGGTACAGGTAGTGGGATATATAAGAAAATTACTTTAATGGTACAATTTAAGCGTTAAAGTGACGCCGTGATTTCACCCATAAGGATTACACGGGGAACTGAAATACGGGTCTCGTGTTATGAACTGAGTTCAAATTTCGCGCGTCATTCACTTTACTGGTCAATTGGGGCGTAGTTGTCGCCTATTGGCTAAACAAAACAAGTGGCCCCTGTGATATCTATGTAGCCATGGTTCCACTGACGTCTCTATCTACAAAATATAAAATACTGTAAGTAAAAAATATCATTTAGCAGAAGATTATCCTTCCAATTTTAAATGTATTTTTTTATTTCAGTTTTATATTAACGATTCTATTGTAAAATTTTATACAGGCTTAAAGATAAAGTCATTTAAATAAATCGTTCTTACCTTTTAAATCTTGACATCTCTTGACACAGCACATGAACGAAGCTCTAGAGTCACTACTTTTCACTGTGGATTTCAATCGCGCACTCGTAACTTAACAACGCCTAGTACAAACTAACAACCCGCATTTAATATCTAATTAAAAAAATCTGACCTTTTTGGCTTCTTTTTCTGCTATCGTTTGTAGCGACTCCCCTCTTCTTCTAAAAGCGGACCAACTGTAAATAAAGAAAAATATCATTTAGCAGAAGTTTATCTTTTGAATTTTTCAAATACTTTTTTTTAATTCACTATTAATTACATCAGCGTTTCTATAGTATAAAATGCCACTTGCACATGTAAAGATGAAATCAGATATATGAACATTTCTTACCCTCACAAATTAAAACCCACACTTAATCCCTGATTAAGAAAAAAAAAACTAACCTTTTTTGGGTTCTTCTTCCGATATTAAATGCCCCTTCGACTTCAAAGATGCAGACCTACTGTAAATAAAGAAATATATCATTTAGTAGAAGTTTATCTTTTAAATAAAATAAAT